ACGGCCCCCGAGGAGGACAAGGAGTCAGAAGCAGAGATTGAAGTAGAAACCAGGGAAGAATGTAAGTGACACTTGTGGCTGCCTTTATTTGGGCTGGGGTTTTTGCAGGGGTTGCTGTGCAGTTTCATGGGGTTTAAAGGGAATTGTGGGAGCCCAGTGCCGCCATGGTACCTTTGTGGCATGAGCTGCACAGTCACAGCTCAAACAAATTGAACTCAGTCCCTTAAGTCAAGTTTGCATTTTCATCATTTTTCAAGTATCAAAGTATAAAATGAGCAGGTTTTTCATTTCCTTTCCTATTTAAAATTGATTATCAAGTGTCTCTGTACAAAAGGGCCTCAGCACATTTGGAGCTGTATAATATATATACGAGCTGTATATAATTATGTCTTAATTATTGACATTTTAAAATTAATTTTCAATGTTCCTTTTTTCCAGTCACCTCCTCCTTATCCTCGCTCTCCTCCCCATCCTTCACCTCCTCCAGCTCTGCCAAGGACATGAGCTCCCCTGGGATGCAGCCCCCAGCCCCCGTCAACAGCTCCTACGAGGTGGCTGCACACCCTGACCCCCACAGCAGCGGGCTGGAGGCTGAGCTGGAGCACCTCAGGCAGGCCCTGGACAGTGGCCTGGACACCAAAGAAGCCAAAGAGAAGTTCCTGCACGAGGTGGTGAAGATGAGGGTGAAGCAGGAGGAGAAGCTGAACGCGGCCCTGCAGGCCAAGCGCAGCCTGCACCAGGTGAGGCTGCCCTGCCCTCCCCTGCCCTGCCAGGTACAGCCCAGCAGGCAGCTCTGAAAAAGGAATTGCCTCATTTTTCCCAAATAGCAACAGCCTTTGCTGGAGCTCTGTTTGTAAATCCAGCCGGGAATCCAAAGCACAGGAACCAGTCTTATGTTTTTAAGCTTGCCACCTGTTTTTCCTTGGGTTATAAATCCATGGTTACCAAAATCAACATCTTTTCATTACTGAAAAAATCTTCTAGTCCAGCAGAGTTTATTTTGTTTTCATTTCACTGAACAGGAAACATTTCTGGAGGCTTTAGATGGAGTTTTAAAGGCTCTGTGAGGGAGGGTGTTCCTGGGACACGGCCACAGCTGAAGTAAGGGCTTTGTCAGGCATCCCACTGCTGAGCTTCAGGCCGGGAAGCAGCTCCTTATTTCTGGAATTCCTGAATCCCTCAGTGTGTCCATGGTCAGGCAGGGCTGCACAGGGCAGGGCTGAGCTCAGTGATGGGGGAACTGCCTTTTATTTGAGCTGGGGTAAGAAGAGTGCAGAGAAAAGAAGGGGGAGCCAGCGTGGAAGATTTGTGTGTCCTCTTTGAATATTTGGTGTGGAGCTGTTCCCAAGCTGGGGCTGGAATCCATGGGGTGGAGTAAATAAGGGCCTGGTTTGAGACACAAAACCTGCAGTGATGCTCTCTTTTTTAGTTACCCTGAGCAAAATCTGTGTTTTATGTATTTAAAAGTAAACATTTATGCATAATGTGTGTGTGTGTGTGTGTGTGTATTTCCAGGGGCTGTGTGTGCATTTCCAGAGGTTGTGTGTGTATGTGGGTACTTCCAGGGGCTCTGTGTGCATTTCCAGAGGCATGGCCAAGCTCACTTCCAGCCTGGCTGGGAAGTGAGATTGTCAAAAGAGTGAATTTCCCATGACCCTGCAGTGCAACTTCACAGCAAGCAGGGCTGGAGGGTTTGACTCGGGCAGGGAGGAAATGCTGCTTCTGGGGGAAAAAATAGATCTTTAGTTTCTAATTTAACCCTTTAGGAAATGTGAGCCACATCTCTGTGCTTGCTGTGAATGTGTGTTTTAATAACTGTGGGGTTTCTTCCTTTGTTCTTTGAAGGTTCCTTATCATTATCCATGAAATTAATGGTTCCTTCATGGGTTTGAGATTCCAAGGCAGCAGCTCCCAGCCTGGACAGGGGGAGTTGCAGTTCCCAGAGCAAAATGTGGTTTCCATTCAGCTTCAGGTTTTAGCCTGGAGTTTTCCAGGTTTTGTGACAGAGCAGTCCATGAGCTGGTTGTCAGGAGTCTTGGGGCTCACCCCAGTCACCTACAGCACCCCAGAGCTAGGAAAGACACAGTTTGTGTTCTGTCCTTGCCTTGAGTGGGTTTTGGGTGGGGGCTTGATAAAATGGAGCTGATTTCTGATGTCCTGTTGAGCTTTTCCATCCACAAAGGACACTCAGAACTGCACTTTCCACGTTGTGCATCTTCAGAGCCTTCAGCTCCAGCCCAGGCACTGCAGTCGGGTGCTTTGGAACGTGGAGCTGGTGCTGGAGCTCTCTCCAACTGCAGTTCATCTTTATTCAGGCCCAGATGGTCGCAGCTATTCTGCTTGACAAAGCAAAATGGGGCTGTAGCGCTGAGCTTTTTGTTATCCTGGGCTTCGGGGTAGCTGGAGTGCAGGAACTCCACAGGATTTAAAGGAGAAGGGCTCGTGCAGAGCTCAGAGCGGGGTTCAGCCCTGGGCTGCCTCGGTCACAGGCAGCAGGAGGTGGGAACGTGGTTTGGATGGCTTCCCTCACACTCACTGCTCACCTGCCTCTGTCCCAGGAGCTGGAGTTCCTCAGAGTGGCCAAGAAGGAGAAGCTGAGGGAAGCGACGGAGGCCAAGCGCAACCTGCGGAAGGAGATCGAGCGCCTGCGGGCCGAGAACGA